GAGACCAGAATAAGTGATATGGATCAATTTTCGTCCCCATATCGACAAACTGAAGGATCTAATGAACAAAAATGTCTAGTACCTCTAAAGGTGTTAGTGTGGGCAACATAACACTTCAAGGCCATAGCAAACAATCAGGATCCAATTTGTCATAGAGGTGAGAAATAGCTGTCAGATGAATCAGTGAAAAGGATTTATCCCCTTCCATGGTTGCCAGTGTCTTAGGTAAAAAGGACCTGTCTGGGTATAGGAGGACATGGGTAGAATGATAAAGCATCATGTGCACATGCAACACAAACAACTCCAACCAGTGATGTCCACAGGTCAGTAGCCACAAAAAATAACTCTTAATGGAAAGATAATACATGGTACATGAGGCTAAGGGCTTAAACCGATGTCAAGAAAGAGCATGTAATACCACCTTAATATACCAGTTAGGCAACTGAAATAGTCTTTTAGGGCAAAGGCCCCTTAACAACTTGAGGAGGCTGGAGAGCTCTGGGGACTCAAATAAGTTACACCTCTTTGAGTGTCTAAAGGTAGTCGATAAGGCCACCTCACATGAGGTGAATGTGGAAGATGCTAAACACATGTCAAAGAGCCAGGTCAAAAAATGAGTTATGGTTAGCACTTATTTCCTCCTCTCACAATACACCATTTTCATTTACAATGGTAAATGCCAATCGTGGGACAATGCAGAGAGTGAAACAGAAACATGGCAACCATAGAAGTTAAATCCTGATGCCATGTAAAGGACCGCATAACCTCCATGCATGAAGCTTGAGCTTCAGGATGGCTGGGTTTACGATGTTGGATCACGGCTGCTTCAATAGAGACAGCTAAAGAGGAAGTGAAAGAGGTAGACACTCCTGAATGCACCAAAGAAGCAGAAACAAGAGTTGAGCTGGCCAATCAAGAGCTACCAACAGAACATGAAAAGGGGTTGAACGATTCATAGCTAAAACTTTCGGTAACAGACGAATATGTGGGAAGGCATAGAGGTGCAATCCTGTCTAGTCCTGACTAAATGCATCCAATGCCAGAGGGTGAAATACTGGAGATTAAAAATGCTGGAAGTTGAGAGTTCCAATGAGTGGCAAACATATCAATCATTGGTGTTCTGAACTGAGAGCAAATCCAATGCAAAGCCTTGCAATGCAGCATCCATTTTGTCAGGAGAATCTGGTTGGGTTGAGACAATTAATCTGCTACCAAATTCATCACCCCATAACACAGTGAGCTAGTAAAAATTATATGATGGGAGTGGGCCCAATAAAGAAGATCCAATGTTCAAAAACAGAGATCTGGACTGAGTGCACCCTTGACAGGAAATGTAAGACATCACTATGGAATTATCGAAGTGAAGCATGATGATTTTTCCTTCAATAAGTCCAGATCTTGAGTCACCTCCCTTTGAACAGCAAGAAGTTCTAAAACACTGAGGTGTAGGGAAGTCTAATCATCTGTCTATAGGCCCTGGAATTTCTGACAGTTGAGATATGCACACCATCCTAGAATTGAGGCATCTATGAAGAGATGAATCTCTGGACAAGGTGGCAGCAGAGGAAAACCTCTCATAGTATTGTTTCGATCTAACCACCACTCCAGATCAAAGATGTTGAACCTAAAAAAGGAGACTGGGGAATTTAGTGGGTTGCTGTTCCTGATCCATTAGTCCCATAGAGACCACAGAAGGGGTCTCATGTGTGCTCGTCCAAAAATAGAAAGAATCATCCATGCAGTGGAAGAAGGAGGCGTGAGTAAGAATCAGACTGCCTGTTCTATAACATGGAACTGGATGGGAGTCAGCTGAGCCTGACTGAGATAAGTGTTGAAAAAGACACCCAGACAGATATTATATCGTGTTGGAATGTGAATAGATTTCTTGGCTCTAGTAATAAAGTCAGCCTTGGTTGCTTCTGAAAGCAAAATCTAGGTGTGACATTCCACCAATTGATGAGATGGTGCCATCAGTAACCAATCGTCCATGTAATAGTGTGTGCACAGGCCTAAGGAATGGAGGTGATGAAAAAAAAGCTCATACAATATGGTAGAACACATATGGTGCTGATGCTAGTCCAAAGGGCAGAGCCCTGAACTGCAGCACCTGATCCTTTTGCACAAAATGCAGATAGTGGCAGGACCACTCCACTATGGAAACACGTAGAGAGGCATCAGTGACATCTAACTTGTTTATCCACAATCCTGGCTGGTGAAAAATGCCAACATAGAGTGAGGAATGAACCTTGAAGGATCTTGGGCACAACAAACAGACGTGAATAAAACCCTGGAAGAACTAGGATGACTCTCTCTCCACTGCCCCTTTGACCAACAAATCTCTGATAGCCCTGAAACGAAGTTCTGAAATCCGAGAATCTGCGAGAGGCAGAAACACTACAGGCTGGAGGTATAATGGCGGTGGAAATGTGAGATGAATGACTAATCCTAACACAAGGACTATGGTTCCGTGGTAAAGGTTTTCCACACATTCAGAAAGGCTAGGAGCTGAACCCCCACAAACAAGAAAGACAAGGTAGTCACTGTTGGTACAACAGAGCAGAAGAGCCTTCTGGGTATGAGTGGTATCTATTCTGGGTCCCAATGTACCAAGGGGCTAATGTCGAGGGTCAGGACACCACTATAGGGGCAGAACTATGACCTTACATAGGAGCTAAAGAAAATTGAGAAGCTTACAACATCAGGGATGAATGCAGACAGCAACATAAAACCTTGATTCCAATGGCTCTGGAACTCCCATAAAAATCACGTGTTGGAGAAAAAAGGCTTTACGTAACCCACAAAGGGCAGCAGATGGTAGACGAATGCTCTCCAACAAAATACCAGCCAAGTAGCTAGGGAAAGTGTAGAAACTGACAATCGAACCAAGGTAGATGCCAACAATGGTTCCAAATCATCATCAAATTGATGTGGCAATCACTTCTTGGCTTCCAACAAAAGTTGGAGGGATGATAAATATTTCAGAATTGTAGTTAGGGTCAGATGAAGCCTAGAAAATTGTAATCAATTCAGGTTGACCACAGACTCCATTCTGGAATCCCACATTTCCAGGAGCAGGTCTATTCTTTGAGAGTCTAAATACGTGTCCACCTGGCAGTGATAGGCTAAAGCATATTGTTCCGACAAACGTGGTGGATTAGACATAACTGTCCCTTCACGCTAACTGAGCAGTAAACCTTCCTGCGTGAACCACAATATTAGGGGATAGAGGGAGAACTAAGTATTCACCCTCAGACCTTTCCGCCATCAAGGAAGGTGCATGCTCAAAAGCAACCAACAAAAGACACAAAACCTCACACATTTGATTGACCAACTGAAAAAAAAAGAGCCAGAGGCGGCTGATTCAAATTGACCTCATGAAAAGTCGACAGAGTAAAGGAAGACACTAGAAAAAGCAAATCTAAATTCTCTCCAGAATGTCCAGGATTACCCGCATGTGCAGCCTCAGAGCCCTCCAAAGAAACACCACTGGAGCAAATTTGTGTGTCCATCTTACTACAAATAAGGTCACGAACAGTTTCAACTGACAGTGACTCTCCACCCCACCCCCCTCAACTGTTGAGCAATGCTAGATATCAGAGGTGGGATAGGAGAGATCTGATTTGCCTCCATGCCAGAAACAGTATTCTGGGAATTCATGTTGTATATTAGCTTGCCAAACAATTTTTTTTTCTTTATATGAATGATGCTCAAAATATCTCCAATGGTTGCAGTACAGAGAAACCCATTTGTTGTCAAGAAAAAGTGATAATATTATCTGAATGAGGTGCTTATATACAGCACCAGGATTGAGGAAGCATTGACATAATATTATCTGAATGAGGTGCTTATATACAGCACCAGGATTGAGGAAGCATTGACATAAGCAGAGAGTGTCACGCGACAGATATCACCAAGGGCAATTAAGTGAGGAATAAAAGACTGGAGCAAGTGAGGAAAAATCAGACCAATGCTTAGATGGGCAAAGGAAGGAAACCCTAGCAGTGGAGTTAGAGAAGGTAAGTATGCTTTGGAAGATATATTACTGAAGATTAGTAAGAACAATACAATAAACTCTGCTTCTATACAACCTACCAATAAAGACTTCCCTAAGAATACAAACTGACAATCTCCATGATATGACATGCAAATAATCCTGATATATAAATACAAGTATAACTTCATAAAGACCACAGCATACAAACAGCTATACCATGAATAAATAAATCCTAGGAATTAATCGTATTTTCAGTACATCAATTTGTTCGATGAGAAATGGTGGACAAAGTTGCAACAAGTCACCTAGTAACATGCAATACCACTGTCTACAGTGAATAGGATGACAATGCAGTTCTTGTCAAATCATGGTCCTGACACCCAAAACCAACAGAACAGACTTTTGATATTGTAAGAAATGTGGCAAAGGACCCATGTCAAACAACTGCTTTCATTGCAAGGCTGGTGAAAGAGCAGTATGGGCTACAAAGGCAGAGTAGCTACATACAAGCCACTATTCACTTCAAGCAATGTGGTATGTTGACAGCAGTGGGCATCACAGTTGTTATGACACCCTTCTACCTTATGAGACACTGTAATGTTTTTCAAATGAGTCCAGATATGCAAAACTCTCATACAGTGGATGCATGAGATATTACCTTTATTGAGCAGGTGTCCATTCTTGATTGTTCCCTGCATAAGTGTTCCACACAAGCATCTTCTAGGGATACCCTCATCCCATTTTTTGTTTATAGAAGTTAGCCCATGTTTAAGGTCTTGTAAATACAATGTGTAACTATGTTTCTGCTTTAAATATTGGAAAGTGCAGATCCATTAATACTAAAGATAATTTTGTAACCTTTGTTTTGTGTTAGTTTTTTTAAAAAACAAGATAGCATTTTTTCTGGAATGGGTATCTATTTATTTATTGGTGAACTCTGTATACACCATGAAACTAAAAAATATCCCAATACCTTATATACTCCAATAAAAATAACTTTTCTTACCTTCGAATGCAAAAGCAGCATGAGTTATTGCTTGATATCCTTGATTCTTTACCCAGCCACACGTATTTATTATTATTCCACTTGACTTTACTAAAATAAAATAAAAATTCATGTTTACTAAATGAAAGTAATAAGCATAAAAATTAAATTTTGTTTTACACTGAAACTCAATTAGATACTTATCTATAATATAACATTTTAGCTATTCTTTTGATTAATTGCCAAGATACAGACATGTTTGTTTTTCTATATCTTTTTACTTTATCTCCCACTGATCAATGGTCAATACTGCATGATTTTTTAATCTCCTTCACTTGACACTTTGACATGAGGTGATATGTCGTAAAATGTCTAGTAGTTTAAATGTAGTTCAATTAATTATGGCCACATGTGTTTTTCTGTGCATGGGCTTATTGATTGCCTGAATACTTTTAATCATTTTCTCAAGAAACCTCCCAACCACTGAAAGAAGGGAAGGAATAACATGGTAGAAGTATCTATTTGATTTCCATTGGAAGATAAAAGTAAAAATTTCAAATAACAAAACTTACCTCTACAAACACTTTTTAGGTGGAAAACCCTACAAATATAAGTTGAAATAAAACTGGAGAAAGTATAGTGTAATCTGTCATTCCTGAAAATGGAATGAAAGCAAAAGTCATATGATACACACACACCATGAAAACAGAGTGGAATAAAGATATCAACTGGCCAGTGGCATGGTTCCAGGATGCCAAACGTAAAAAATATATATAAATATAAAAATAAATTAATCTACATTTACAAAATAAAAGATAGATTCCAGGATTTGATTGAAAGTCTAACGTAAGAGAAAACAGATTTATCATAAAGCTGGAGAAATAATACTTGAGAGTTATAAATGGAAAACAACTAGAAATTAACAATGTAATTACAGATAATGATATCTATTATAGTTAGTTAAAGGGGGAAGCAAAGTAAATTAGTTTTGAGCACATAATGATGAGAAAAAGCTGACTACATAAAACAAATGGTTATATTTTTTCTGTGATAAAGTTTCCATATTCCAACTGTCAAAGGCGAGACGACTCATAATTGAACATTTTCTCCTGCAAATCCCCAAGGTGGTAGTCATTACTGACTAAATGACTCTTGTTTACCTTGCTTTTCTTATACTTTGTTGTCACTTTTTCCAAACTTTTTGTGAACTCTTTTTCAGGCATTAACAAGCAATGGTATCCGACATATATTTTTATCTACAGAAATATCCAGAACAATGAGCATAATTCATTTGCAGTAACAAGGTAGGTGATGTCATTCTTAAGGTAGAATAAACTTTGGGCACTTTACTCCTGTACTTCAAAAACTATGTTGTTTTTCTTTTTCCAACACCAGTAATAAAAACTACAACAAACCAAGCAACAAAACTATAGTCTAATCAGGGACAGATCAGTTTTTCAGAGTGGATTATCACTATGAAGGAATGAACAGTTGCACTGATAAGTTGATAAGTATTCAACTTAAAATAAGTAGCAATCAAAATCAGTGAGGAGAGTGAAAAGGCAAGAAAGAATAGACTTAGCTGAAAAAAACAAGACGAAACATCAAAGCACAGTGGACAGCAGAAAACAAAGATAACACTTCAACTGCCAAGATAAAAAAATTGTTAGAAATGTTTGTGCAATATTTTTCTTATTTAAAAATAAAGAAAAACATACCCTTTTTATTTAAATGTATTTTAGAGTTGATGCTATCAGCTAGTCTTGTAACTACAGTGTTGTAAAATGTAAGATTGTCACCAGGCCCTTTGTGTCCATAGTGGTAGACAAGTGGTGTTTGCTGGGAAAACCCTTCTTCTACATCTGCTGGACGTTCAACTATTAAAGCTCCTAGAAAGTGATGAATAATAAATTCTACAGGACAAAAAGTAAGAAATACAATGGTGTTTAAAAGATCAAGAAAGAACAAACTCCCCCATTCTGGGTTGGCTTTACTGAAAACTCATTAAAAATTTTATAACCTATATTTGGCTTCAAAAATCTATTTTTAGATCATTTTTTTACTTAAAAGTACAATACAATAAAATAAAGATAACCAGCCACTTTTTTTTGTTTCAGAATTTTTACGCAAAGCTATCCCTAGTTTTAACTAAAACACTAGAGGGTTTATTTGTTTCTTTGTTGTTAAACACAAAGTTACACAATGGGATATTTGTGTTGTGCTCACTACATTTATCAAATCCCAGTTTTTAGTGCTAGGAGCCTTCAGACTCAGCCAATGGAGGGCTTACACTAGATGGAAGGCATCTAGTCAAGAAAAACCCACCACCATCTGTTGGAATACTCTTGTCTCACTGAATAGAGAGTTGACCAATCTTTTAGTGCACCCATGGCCCCAAAGTGTGGAGGGTATTTTTGCAGCAACCACAAGTTAATTAAGAATCCTTGGATTCACAAACTGGGCATCCTAAATACTTTGTGACACCTGACCAGAACTCATTATGAAAGATTCTAATGCTAAATTTACCATCTGATAATTCAGACCTCATTTCCATAAAATTATGGAAAAAATCACACATTAATTATCATTTGATACTTTATAATCTATTTTTGATTCAGTAGAGACCAAACTAGGAATATATTCTAAGAACATTTAATGTTCTTGTTAATATTTTTAAGTGAAAAGAACAAAATCATAAAAGAAGTAACAGATCAGGTTATGACTGGTTATCAGCACCACCATGCAAACAGTTACTCAGTCAACTAAGGGTCATATGGTCATTCAAACTACAAGGTATATGATGTTTGTAGATGGTAAGGATAGTTGATTTAAAAATTATATGAAAGCACTGACAAACTAAAACTTACCCATTGTATTTGTATTCTTGATTAATCCAATATAAAAACATGCCCATTAAATGTATAATTTGAAAGAGAATGATTAGAAAGGATACAAATATTTCATAGAACAATACAAATATTAGCTTCTTGTATCATCTAGAACAACTACACAATATACAGTAATGTGCAAATTTATCAGAACACCTCAACAGTTTTTACTTTATGAACATTACATGTAAAATAGTCACAGATTTGATATTAACTTGTAATCATTGAAAAGTAATCTTACAGGAAACAATTACAAAATTAGTACACAAACAGTGTCTAAGTTTATTTAATACTATTATTTAGTGTGGCAACTCCTGGCATCAATAATAGCTTGGAATTGTAATAAAAGAAACAATATCATGTGTAGCTTACTAAAAAATCACAGTAAGTGGAACAAACTGTCAGAACTCTTCATACTGGAGAAACCAGTTTTGACACATTCATTTATCCTCTTCAGTATAACACTGTCTTCTGGTAGTAAAACTGGTCAACAATGTCTATGTGACCCCAGAATTTCAAAATCCTTTAAAGACACAAGAGATCAGGGAGTTGTTTAGCTTAAAGTGGCAATGAGGGGGTGTTGAAATTAGGTAGGCTTTTGATTAAGCAGCTTTCGATAGTGATTTTTTTTATGTAGTTATACATTTTGTATAAAATTCTTGTTGATTTCCAATCAATTTGATATCTAGAATCTTTCATATCAACTAAAATGGCATTACTTGTGTTTCCATATTTGATATCTATTTTTATGATCAAAAAATCTTGTGTCAACACTTCTTCCAGTTTCACCTAGATAATTTTTCTTTTTTCAACATTTTAAACAACTATAATTATATTTCATGAGCACAACAAATCAAAATAATAGTAGCAATAGGGTGTTCTAATAAATTTGCACTACTGTATAAAGTAATGGTTAACTTAGGACATTCTAATTATGTTTTATGTATGAATATAAAAAAAAAATGTTTTGGGTTATTAAATGCCATATTTATCATTTGCATGTACAGTCATTATAGTTTTAAATTTAAAAAAATCAAATTAGGTTTTGGTTTTCAGTCATCATATAATTCCATGCTTTAATGAAATAAAATTCTGTGAATTGTTTCCTTTAGTTAGAAGATAGAGAAAACTGTTTTTATTCTTTATTATGAGAAGGTATGAATTTGGTTATATACAGCCATCACTAAAGAATAACAGTCACTTATGCCACCAAAAATTCTTTAACTCTTTACCTTCACTATATTCATTCCACATTAATTTTTCTTCAGTTACATTCTACACTTGATTATTCTTGTGCTTTGTAGAATGTTTGCCATTTCATTTGTAACACTACTCTTTTCCAAACATTTCAAGATATCATTATCTACAAATATGCATTTAGCAGAAAAGTCATCACTATAAATTTATGAAACTGACTATCCACAGTTATGCAATTAATATTCAATAAGTACTGTTGTGTTTATATGTAAAACAATTTTTTTTTTCCTTCTGAGCTAGAAGAGAAGTCTTTGTATTCTTATTTCAACGCGGTCAGTTATTATCTATGGATAACAAAGCTTAAGGAGGTTGAAAAAAATATATTCTACACTTTTATAATCTTATTAAAGATTATATTTCATTTCATTAAATTTAGTGTAAAAAAAATATTCAATCTAGGTTAAAAAACTGACATTTTTAAACATTAAATGCATTAACACATTTGAAAACACTTAGAAAAAATCATAAAAACTACATAATTTAGGAATGAATGGCATTTACAATATAAAGTAACTGACAATGATTCTGGGTCTAATTTTTCATTGATATTGTCCATCAGCCATTAACCCTGAAGTACTGAGTTATAATTAAGTGACTGGTATCAAACCATGTTCTGCCTTTGACAAACTACGATTACTGGTTAATTCAGGTATGGCACAGGACCACGCTGTTGCTAGTAGACTGTGGAAGGATTGTGAGGCTCCCCCTCCCCTTTCCTAAAGAATAACAGTCACTTATGCCACCAAAAATTCTTTAACACTTTACCTTCAACTGACTATCACTATCAGTTCTCTGATGGAAGCTTAGTTTTACTGAATGAACAACAGAGAAGGAATGCTCCAGTTAGTTTTGAGCATTGCAACCGGCAGGATCAGTGCCATTAGCTATGTACAGCCACTAGTCTAGGAGAAGGTCACTCCAAAATAAAACCCGGATTGTTCTTCCACCAATCATCATGCCTAGCATTCCATTGGACCTTGAAAGCTCAATTTGAGGGTGTGTCTACAACTCGCTACTGCTGCATTTTAAGCACCAGTGAAGGCTGGGATGAGGAGGAAGTCCTGCGGTGATGGGTGACCGATGGTAATGACAGGCTTGAGGAACTTGGAGTCATTAGTTAGTCATCTGCATGTAGGCAGTTTGAGTATGATGGCTGTGGATTGAGGACAGAGTGGTAATAATCCAAGGTTCTGTTCAAGCAACCAGGCAGCCCTATTAACAGATGGATCTGCCTATCCTGGAAAGGGTTGCTTCAATAAAAGGATGGGTAAACATAGTCCACTCAGCAAAACCTGGCTGGGCCTCAAATTTTGTGGCTGAGTAAAGCATATGAAAATTTGTAAATTGGAATGTCAGGACACTCTTAGATCGAGAAAATAATTGCACACCTGAATGACATACTGCTATAGTTGATAGGGAACTGTATAGATACAGTATTGACATTGCTGTGCTCCAAGAACCATGGTTCAAAGGAATAGAGGAACTACGGGAAAAGAACTACACCTTCTTTGGGTCTGGCATGGGTAGCAAAGGGAGAAGCAATACTGGAGTAAGATTTCCAGTTAACAATTATATGTTGTCAAACAGATGGAATCATGCCCTGCTTCTATTCTGAAAGGCTGATGAAGTTGTGACTCCCTCTGTTCAAAAACCACTTCATCACCATTATGTTGGCCTATGCACAAACAAACGAAACTCACATAAAAGAAGAGTTCTATCTGGCCCTAAGGAATCTCTTGGATTCGGTTGCTGGTAGTGACAAACTTTTAGTTGTTGGAGACTTCAGTGCTTGTGTTGGTTCGGATCATCAAACTGGGAACTGTGTGTTAGGCTAATTTGGGAGAGGAAAGATAAACTCATATGGGGAATTACTTCTTAGCTTCTGCACAGAGCTAAGTTTGGCAATAACAAACACATTTTTCAAACTCTAAAAATGGTATTCAGTTGATGTCAACCCCATTCCCAGTGATGGACTCTCCTTGACTATGTTATAACACAAAGGCAGGACCTTACTGATGTCATGTCTACACAAGCCAAGCACGATGTGGACTGTGACACAGACCACACACTTATCCAATCCATACAATCTGTAGGCTAAAGATTGCTCCATTCGGTGCAAAAAAACATCCAGCTGCCTCATGGAAACTGAACAAGCCTTATTAGATGTCAGGCACACTCAACAAGCCACTAAGTGATAAAAAGCAGCTAAAGCAAACCTTCAAAAACATCTCTGCAAGCTTTAAGATCAATGGTGGCGGCAAAAGGCAGAGTTGATACAGTCCTTAGCTGACAAACATGATACAAAAGGGATTTTGTAGGTGGTATATGGACCAAAGCACCAATCAAGTGTTCCATTCATAAGTTTTGATGGCTCCAACTGTTTAGAAACAAGGTGGATATCTTGTAGAGATGGAAAGAACACTTTGCTACTTTGCTGAAGAAGACCTCAGTGATTTATGACGCAGTCCTGGATCAGGTGCCACAACTATCAATCAATGCAATGCTTGATGACCAACCAACTCTGGAAGAACTTGTGAAGGCAATGAAAATGATTAAATCTAGAAAAGCACCAGGCTTGGATGGTCTATCTGTCAACATTTTCAAAAATGGAGGACTAGTATTAAAACTAGAATTGTTGTATCTTTCTGAACAATGTTGTCAAACTGAAGAACTACCTCAAGAGTCAAGGATGCCCTAATTGTAACAATCTACAAATGTAAAGGGGGATTGACATGACTGTGGAA